TTTTGGATTTTTCACTCACTTTATTTAATTTCTTTTTTTTTTTAATTTTTTCCTCTTTATTTTTGCATCAATTTTTTCCTTAAAAGTGCCTTTTTTTGCTAGGAATTACAGTGCAGTTAATTATTTTGCGATTTTCAGGCTCCGGAAAAACACTTGCCTTTGCTGTCCCTATCATTATCGATATTATGAATTTAAAAGATAATACGACTAAAAGTACGAATATTCTTCGCGCTGTGGTGCTTGAACCGACACGCGAACTTGCTAAACAGGTTGCTCAAATCGGAATACTCGCGTTTATTTATGCCTAAAATTTAGTGTTGCGTAAAAACTAAAAATGTTTGTTTTTAGACTTATATGCAGTTTTTGAAGTTCACTGAAGGTTTATCTATCACATGTGCTCTTCTCGACAGCGACAAATTGCCTAAAAATGGTACCGTTTTTTAAAGTATTTTGATTACTGGCTTGATTTCGACTGTCGACTGGATTGATTTTGTAGTCTGAAACATATTTAAGGTTAAAGAAAAAATATAAGAAAAATGATGGAAAACATGAAAAGAAAGAATTATTAAAGTATATACCCCTTCCCCTCCCCCTACTGGGTTTAGGAGGCATCTTCATTTTCTTTTATTGAAAAAAAATTTACTTTTTAGTAATGCGTTTCCCACAATAACATGTTATTTTCTCGAAGTGTGCGTGATTTAATTTACCGCATTCTTACACTTTAAATCAATTTCATTTTTTTTTTCTTTCATTGAAAGTCATTTGTAGCAAATGTGGTTGTGTCGACACCAAACAAATTGGTGTATGCTTTGGAAAAGAGTGCGAAAAAATTGTCATCAAATAATTTAAAATGGCTTGTTATCGATGAAAGTGACAGACTTTTTGATACAACCGAGGGTGACGAAAAGTGCTTCAGAAATCAGGTCTTTTATATATTTTTTTTAGTAATTACTAATTTGATCACAGACTTTATTGTTATTATAACTGTGTGCCCCTTGGGGAAGTAAAGAATGGGGAAGAGGAAACGGAAAGCGGTAGTTCATTTTCACAGTTTTTCTGAATGAAAAGTCAGGTTTTTGATTTCGAAAGTTGTTTCTGATTCTCCTCAGTTTGCGAGTTGGTTAGATAGGTTGATTTGCTTGCTCCTTGTTGTTCCTGTTAAAAGTTTTTTTTTGTCAAATTTTTTAATTTTGTTAATTAAATTTTCTTATTAAAAAGTTTTTGCGCAATGCACAACATTACTGAGATGGAGAAATTGCAGTTCTGCAAAATAACAATAACTTGTTACAGCTTTCAAGAATCTATCAAGCATGCAGTGGCAACGCGGTGCGCCGCGCTTTCTTCAGTGCTACCTTCTCATATGAGGTTGAAGATTGGTGCAAAAAGAATCTGTATGATGTGGCACTGATTTGCATTGGTGCGAGGTAAGAGAATACGCTGCTGGTATTTGTTCTTTTATTTATTTTTTTTTCATATATTTCACTTGAAATTTACACCGTAAGCATTGCAGGGTTTTTTTTTTCTACTTCCATTAGTAAGCTTTAACATGTGTTTTGAAGTTTTTTTACGTGTATTTTTTGGGTTTTCTAGATTTCGCCTGTTTTATATGTTTCGGAGCATTCCATTGTTGTTGTGGTTTTGTAATATTCGTTGTAACGCTGCTGTTTAATTATCGAAAATGTTTAAGGAATGCAGCAGTGGACACTGTGAAGCAAGAATTAATCTTTGCTGGCTCCGAACATGGTAAAGTTATTGGCTTGAGGTCGTTATTTCAAAGCAGTTTCGAACCGCCAGTTCTCGTCTTTGTACAGGTATTCTTCATTTTTTTCAGGCATTACACGTTGTCATAAGATGTCGACTCCTGTATTCTTGAAAATCATCGTTTTCGCTTTATCGACACATGAAAAACGCCTTTTTATTGAGAATTAGTTTAAATTTCGTTGCAGAGCAAATCACGCGCACGGCAGCTAGTATCAGAGATAGAACTACTTCAGCCACCAGTGCCAGTGGCACTGATTTCAAGCGAGAAGACAGAAACAGAGGTTTTTTTCATAGATTCTTTCCTGTTGAATAATTGGTTTTAACTTCTTTTCGCAAAGATTTTTTTTCGAGGATTTGAAAATTTCTAGAAATTTGAACTTTCAAAGATGGAAAATTTTTAGAGAGAAACTGCAATCGCTAAATTTCGCAGTGGTGAAATTTGGGTTCTGGTCTGTACAGAGTTGATGGGTCGTGGACTGGATTTAACTGGAGTAAATTTGGTCGTGAACTTCGATCTCCCAACTTCAGTCATCAGCTACATTCATCGTATAGGTAGCTTTTCATCGTTCTATTTTCGGCATTTCAGCATAAATGTTTTTTGAAACCAATGGCGGAAAATATATCACCTTTCACAGAGAACTTTACGAATTGATGCTTCATAAATTTCAGGTCGAACAGGCCGAGCTGGCCGACGTGGACATGCTGTTACCTACTTTACGGAAGATGACTTGAAGTTTGTTCGCCCAATTGCTAACGTTATCAGGCAGGCTGGTTTTGAAGTCCCGGAATATACACTGAAAATGCAAATGCCAACAAGGTTATGTTTCGGAAGTGAATTTTTTGTTAGTTTTCTGTAGTTGTTTCTGTGATGGATTTCATTTTTAATGCTTCGAATATATTTGTTTGTCCTTGAATTTCCACATTTTTGAAAACGTTTGTCCTAATTTCTCCTTGCAATTTTGATGTTTTTTTTTGCATATCGATGAATTTTCATTACAGGAAGGAAAAGAAGAAATTGATGAGACATGCACCGAAGCGTAAAAATATCGGCGCAGTGAAGAAAGCTAGGAGGAAAAAAAATCGAAAAAAGCGTCCAGCTGCTGCTCACGATACATCGTAAAATGTACTCAGTAGAACTGTTGTTGCTTGCATAGTTTTAAAATGTTTTTCATGAAAATTTCCTGCAAAGTAAATCGTTAAATTGATTTTAACTGTTGTTGGTTACTTACCACTGTATCCTTGAATTCTCAATGTCGTAGCGATTTCACTTTTTCACACAAATTTCAAAGATAAACTTGTCGCTGTACCTCAAGAATCTAGTGAAATCCGTGTTTTTCTTGTGCTTTGCCACTATTCCAGTTGTATTTATTATTATAATAACAGCATCAACAAATGTAACTCGTAAAGACGATGAGATCACAGCACCGGAACCGTTCGTTGGATGGTGTTTTTCCCATAAAACAATTTCCCGCATTTTTCAAATGCTCGTTTCTTGCACAGGGTTCTGAGAGTTTATAATTTTTATAGCTTTTTTTTGGCTAACAGTCTGTTTCGGCTCTTGTGGATGGATTTGTCTTCATCAATTTGGATGAAAAACAATCTCTTTTGGAGCCGACCCTACTCCTGCTGGGAGCTTTGCTCGTCAATATCCTGTCAATTTCGTTGTTCATAGTCAGTGGCTGGGCCTTTAGAATGGCTTTTTCCTGTAGATGAAAAAAGCACCCGAGGACGGTGATGAACATCCACACCTGAAATTCATAGAAATTTCATTAATAAAAAATGATGTGTTCTCAAGTTACTTAATCAAAATCGTGTATATTTTGTACGCCGAATTTGGCCAAAACTCGTAATGTGCTCGAAAACTGACCTCTATTGAAGTGAATAGGAGCAAAATTATGAACACTATAATCAAGAATAAAGTGAGTGTTTTCGATATGTGAGTAAGCTCGTAGATTGACGAGTCGTCTACCATACTTAGTGCTAAATCGCCTGCTGGGCTGTCTTCGACGCTCACGATCCTGAAATTTCAAAAGAAGTTACATTTTTTGTAAAATTAATTTGTATCGCCAGTTTTTATGCGTTTTTGCACATATGCAAATGCAGAAACGTATATTGTTACCACCCCGGTGTACGTGTATTTTTGTGTTTGTTTTTGTGTGTATGTGTATATGCGCATGTGTGTGTATGTGTGTGCGCGCGCGCTTCTGTTCAAGTATTTCAACTCGACAGCCAAGCAAGCTTCGGCGTCAAAATTTTGCCTGTGGGTTCCCCGGCCAAGTGCCACCTCAAGACCACGAAACCAACCTTCAAGTACATCTGGGCCTTGCGCGCGACTACACAAAGGTTTTGGTGGGGGAACCGCTAACTCGGGAACCAGAAAGGCTGGGAGGCTAAAATTTTCAGAGAATGTTCCTCGTCCAAGTAGAACTGGAAGCTTTCAAATTCAGCCCCCAGTTACGTGTGATACTCGCGTATGGGCCGTGAAAGTTTTTGGCGGGAAAACCGTTAACTCGGAAAGTCGTGAGGCTGAAATTTTAAACGGATGTTTCTATCCCACGTACAACTCAAGGATTTCAAATTGAGCCTCCAGTTACACGCGGTACTCACTTGCGCCTCGTGAAATTTTTGGCGGGAAGATCGCTAACTCGGGGAACCAGAAAAGCTGGAAAGCTGAAACTTGAACAGAGTGTTCCCTTCCCAAGTACCACGTGGTAGTTTTACAGTTAGCTTCCTGAAATTCGAAGACCAGTATGTTACAATTTCTAGCTGTTGTGATCCCAAGCAGTTTAACTACAGCACGAAATACTGCAAAAACGCATGATTGCACGGGGCCGCCTGGTGCTCGTCGTCAATGATTTTTTGTAGGTCTTTTAGCATGTTCAGTTGAAATGCCAAAACTTAAGAGTGTAAAAGTACTACCGTATAGAATGCCATATGAGCAGACAAACTCGCTCTTGTTTGTTTGTAAAATGCTCATTCATAAACGGGTAATCTTGCGACTGAGGAAGACTGCGGGATCGCGGACATTTTGCACTTTTGTAGTGCCGGGGAATTCAGGCGATCCCATTCTGCTCCGATGTCCTGCCCTATGAATTCAGATCCTGGTTACCAGTGAGATCTCGAAACAGCTAAAGCCTTGCCAAAGTGCTTAATGCTTTTTATTGGAAGAGTTGCTGAATTGGTAATGCCTTCAGAAGACGAAATGGAAGGCGCCAGAACTGTCAAAGAAAACTGTTCACCATGCAGTGCAGCACCGGTTAGGAAATTACCATGAAAACTCCAAATGTCCACAGTTGACACGTCAAATGTTCAGCACTGTATTGTAAATCAATTTAATAATGTTAAGTGAATTTGACAACATTTAACTTGCTGGATGGGGGTGGGAAAGCGTGTAACTAGGAAAACACTGATTTGAAAAGACAGAAATTGAGATGTGCTGCTGAGATAGCAGTTTCAGGGCTGAAAAAAGGCGTTTATTTTCTCTTCCTCTTTATGTTAATAGATTTTATCACCCGGTGGAAGACAACTTTTGTCCTCACTTCTTGTATCATTCCGGAGATCCAGCTGATATCGCGGCAAAAATTAAATCAGTTTTCATGGGAAGATTCAGAAACTTCATTTTTTACAGATGGTATGATCAAAATTTGAAGAAAAAGCGCACCTGAAATCTAGACTCGTTCCGGCTGTTGCACTAAATATGCAAAAGAAACACATAAGTGATAGGATACACACTGCTGCGGCCTATAATTAGACAAAAATTAATTCATACTTTGATATTTCGGTCAGCTCTAATTTATTCAGTTATACAGCTAATAGCTTTTCCGTTTGCTTTGACTGGTGCTACGCTGCCTGATGGTCTGCGTTGCGACCTTGACGTCTATTTCGTCTTTGAAAATGATTGCCACTTCAACGGGTTTTTGTGAAGAAAGTATTTGGCAAGATTTTAGACCTTATGAGATCTCGCTGAAGTATGCTAAGTAGCACCGTTTCATATCCGATCCGCCATTAACCTTCTTGTAAGCGATTCTCAGGAAAGGGAGCTATCGACAGTCTTGCCAGCGGATGATTGTTGTTAGCATTTGCGAACACGGCTAATTCCAGAGTGCCTTCGCCTCTCACTAAGAGCGAAATGCGGAGAGGGTTTTCGACTTTTGACTTTGCGTTCCTATCCAAATACCGCCACTCCCAGACTAAGATGAGATCCTCTGAAAACTAGAAGCACGCATTGACAAGGAATCAATCGAACAACTTTTGGATTGTTTTGCCGATTTGCAGTGATTCTGGCCGAAATTTTCGAGGGCTTTCCACTCGTTTCTAAACTTGTCCTTGGTGAAACAGTGAATTTTGAAACGGTTTTGCCTGTTCTTAATGATGGCCCATTAATGCAGTTGAAAATGAATTCACCTGCATCAGCAAATGCGGCACCAGCAGATAGGCAGTGGACGTTTTCACCGCAGCGAAAAGCAATAAAACAGCGACCAACGCAAGCAATACACAGAATAACGACACCGATAGTGAAAGGATATACTGCTCACCCGTTCTCATAAAGTGATAAATTGTTGAAAAGACCTGAAATGCTTCAGGCCTTAACAAGATAAGGCATAAGCTCAGCACGGAGCCGTAGTCCAAATGCGTAACTGGAGCCTTCAGTTTAAACCTGGCTTATGAATGTAGGTCAAAACGCCAGCATAAACTCATGTAAGCGAAATTAAATCCCAGATCGAAGCCTAATTCTATGCATGAGAGATGAGCCCAGTCAGATCATCGGTCCAAACATAAACGTGGTTTAGAAGCAATGGATGTAAACTCGAGCTTGAATCCAGAAAAAAACTAGATCTTTAACTGTAGGCTGAACTTAGATTAAAACCACGCTTGAGCTTGGATCTAGTCGGACTCCTAAATGCCAGCCTAAGTTAAGCCTAAGCCAAAATTACAGTAACTATCTAATCTAGTTCCAAAGTTGTAGTGGCTACGGGATGTAATCCTCAACAGTGTGCATTTAGGTAAATATTTTGCCTGGACTGCCATATCAAGGATACGTCTCACTTTTTTTCGCCCTGCAGATTTGAGTTGCCTGACATTTTTCACTAAAAATAGTACTAGTTTCACGTTACATCTTTTACATTGTTTTTATTTTAACTATATTTTATTTTAACTAATTCTGTTAATTTACACACATTCATATTTTAACTTAAAATACTTGATTTCTCAGCACCATAATCGCTATGTTGTCGAGTTCCAATTGTTAGTGGTGAGTGGGAGTGTATGCAACTTTATTGACCAAAACGTTATTCTGCTCTTTTTAATTTTTTAGTACTTTTTTCGTATTTTATGTATAGTATTACAAATATTTTCATCATTTTTGGTCCAAAGGTTTTGCATCCCGCATCAGGACTGAATCAATAGTCTTTGTAACAGAAATTTCCAAAAGCAAACTAAAATTAAACATCGGGAAAATTCAAGCAGTCGTGAAGGCGCAGACGTCTTCTATCTCACTTTTCCGACCACATACCTCGTAAGCGAAATAACACAGTTCCAGGCATCCGATGAGCAATGTCGCAGTGACCACGTGAAGCGAATTGCAGCAACACCTCCTCTGAGATGTTTTTGCCGGCGTGCTGCGCGCTATTACTCCGTTGGGTACCTGTGCTTCTCTGCCGCCACTGAAGCTACTGCTGTTATTCATTAAGTATCTAAATACAGATTTCTTATTTCTAACAGAAAACGTGCAAAATACATTCCTGACACGATATTAAGATGCTAGCGAAATACAGAATTCGCTTCTATCGGAAATAGCTGTTTCAGTGAAACACGCAGATCCTAGTTTTTAATGTGAGCTTTATGGCAGTTGGTGTGGGTATTCCATGCTAATGATGTTTCTGGAATGTTTTTACACCTAAGCGCAGCACTGCCGTTTCTTCTGGTCCTGAGCCCTATGACTTTTGTTTATTAGCAAAATATCTGCGCTGAGAAATTTCTGTGCTAAAGTTAGCAAAATCACTCCACCAAATTCTATAAACTGTTCATGTAAGTTTACATAGGACATTTATGTAGAATCTTCAATAAAAATTCATTTACACCTTCAAAAGTGATTGGAGTGTTAAGGCGGGGATGAGGGCGGAAAAAATCTATACAAATTTTGTAAGCCAGTTAAAAAAATGACTCAAAAGCGTATCTGCTTTTTTAGATACCATTCGCATTTTTCTGGAAGTGTGCGGACTGGCTGTTGTGCAAGGATGAAAAGAAAATGTTGAATTCGAAAGACAAAGAGGATTTCTGAAGTCGGAAACTGAATGACAGGAACGAGTTTCTGCCGCATTCAATGAATTTCATTAATTTTTTTGCTTCCTCCCCCTCGTCCGTGAAGGAAATTAATTCAAAAAAGAAAGAACTAAGAGAGAGCTGATTGCCAATTCGGTAATCAATAACAAAGGCTGCGAACAAATTTTCAAAAAAAACATTTCGGAAGAAAGAATTGTCATGTTTTTACTGTAGCATTCTAAAATTTGTACTTAAAAAGCGAAGGAAATAAAGCAAACACCCAGCTGCCCTTCGCAAACAGCCACATGAAGGACGACGCAGAGGATGGCAGCACTGGACGGGAAAGGACGATCGCAGCAAGCAATGACCAATTTTCAACGATCGCAATCAAAAAAAAATCAAACTCTTTCGATCAGCCCTCTTGCAAGCAGAAAGCAGCGGGCAAGATGCCGAGAACTGATATGAACAGCAGCGAGCGCGGTCGAGAAGAGCCGCTGTTCCAGAATAACAGCGGCATCTCAACGACCGTACCGGGTCCGAAATGGGAAAGTGGCGCTTTATCGAATCCTCAGTCAAGAACTGGGGATTAAAGCTTAACCGAACAATACTCTTAAGCAGTCAGCACTACAGCAGCGTTGGGGTATTTGATGCAGCACCACTTTTTCAAGAAACACCCCATATAGCTTTGCTTTTGGCTGTTTTAACAAGTTAAAATTTAAAGTAAGAAAATCTAGTTGCTATTGCCTTTTTTTTTACTATGTCATTTTTCGTGGGATTTTCCGATGAATGTACCTGTGCTCAATAAAACCCAGGATCGGACGCACCAGGCTTGCCGATGCGACCAGGCATTTTTGCATCAGATTGAAGTACTCAAGTCGTTAACTGCGTGAATATTTGTTTTTTTACACCTGCCTTTTGCACTTTCGAGCATCATCATAAATTCATCATAAATCATTATAAATTTTGCCTAAAGGAAAACCAATAATTTTTTTTAAAAATCGTTCTTTAAAAATGACATAGTTGTTCAGTGAGCAATTTTCCCGTCAAAACTTTAGGTGCCAGTACGAGAAAACCATGCGAAGAAATATTTAAGTGTACTTAAACAGGGAACATTGCCCTAAAATTTCAGCTTTCTAGCTTTTCTGGTTCTCGAGTTGGTAATTTTCTGCTAAGACTTTAATTTTCTGCTACTACGCGTACCGGGGAGAGCGGAGGGAGAGGGGGGAGGGGGCTGGATTTGAAATCTCTAAGTTGTACATGATTTTGTAATCTTTAAGTTAAAATTTCAACCTTCCGGCTTTTCTGGTTACCGAGTTAGCGATTTTATTACCAAATCTTTCACGTGCTCGTACATAAGAACCACGAATGTCTAGGGGCTGAATTTGACATCTTTAGCTTACACATGCTCAGAAAATATTCCTGCAAAGTTTCAGTCTAGTTCACGAGATCGCTTTCCTGCTAAGAAATCTGCATACTTTTTATGACGTCCAGACATGGCACCCAGGTGTACGTGGATGATTATATTAAAACGGGAGGGTCGCACAGATGGTGGGTACATACTTCCGAAGTTTCAGTTTTTTAGCTTTTCTGGTTCGAGAATTAAAAGTGGGTGATAAAAAATGTGAACACACAGGTGCGCACACATACACACACACACATACACACACACACACACACATACAGCCTCTTGCCAATATGCTTTTCAGTTTTTGCAAAAACGTATTAAAAAACGCAAAAAAATATACGCAAAAACGTATTAAAAAACGAGCTAAGTTACTAGTGTAGCATGGGATTACGATTGAAATTTTTCAAAAAGTACATTTTGCCTTATTTCAGAGTGATCGATAGCTCAGTGAAACATTTGAAGATCATATAAATTTGAGAATCTAAAAGGATTGAGAATGAGAGTTATTGTTATCGTCAGACTGGTTGCATAAACGAAATATCAATCGTTATGAACGCCGCCAATAACGTCAACTAACAATAATAATAATGCAGCAAACCGGTCGACAAAACTCCAAGACCGATTAGGATCTCTAAGAAGATTTCCAGATATCCAATAACTATTCCATCTCTATTATTAACTTTTTTAGCGTATTAACACATCAGAATTCCAGCAGAGCTTGATGTGATGGCAATCAGGCAAGTTTAGAGCTATTTCATAGCGAGCCAAATCCCAAATCATATACTTAAAAAAGAGTCTGGGGAATTTTAGAGGATTTTTTTGAAAATTTTTTGAAAACACACTGTTAAATGTTTTCTTTACCATATGACTAAAAATATTGTGTTACTTTGAACAGCTGTGTTTCATACTGTGGTTCTTCAGATACGCAACTTTTTTAATTGCTTTCACCGGTGGCTCTTCTTGATGGACAGCCCGCTGGCCACTCAAGTGTTCGTTTTGCCTCCTACAGAGAATATTAGCAATCTGATCTTTTTCAGGAAAAAACCACTTGTCAAAACTTTAGCTGTTTAAATAATGGACGCCAGGATGGCAAGCAAGTTAACCATTAGACAGAGTAGCATTGGTGTTTGCTGGGCATCACTATCTCATCTCAAGCTCTACCACTTCTTGATCACGGCATGTTACCTAACTGACTAAGAACACAGTAACAAATATTAGTGATAAATATTGAATTTCGTGCACTGGTAACGCTGTGACAAGTGAATGAGTGATAAGGCAATGGAAAAAGAGGGCATCATTTCCTTCGGTTACGCAGAAGACCTTCAAAAATGATTTGCAAAAAGAAAAATTCTCAAAGAATTCTTCTTTTTTTTATGAAATGCACCATACAGTTTGTTTCTGTAATGTGCAGCGTTGTCTTTGATGACCCAATTTTCAATGGGGCGGCGAATGGCCTAGCGTCAAATCTTTCATCGGGAAAAACAATAAAAAAGTCTAATTTGTCTACGATTCAAGCAGTGATATTCCCAAAAAATATCAATGCGCGCAATTTAAATTTGCGCCATACGCATGAAATTGCATATGCATTATTACTGTAATTAATCCGCTCATGCGAAAACCAATCCTTCTACGATTTATTTATTCGTTTCGATGGTAAATTGATGCTAACGCATGACAGAAAGTCGGAACTGTCTTCGACTTGCTTCTATTTACCCTTCGGAAAAGGATTTCTTGACCAGCGGATGACTGCTGTTGGTGGGAATTTGTTTACAGACGAGGCAACCGGACACAGTAAAAATCAAAAATACATATTACTGTGAAAAAGCTATCCATGTAATAGTTGCTGATACAAATATTTTGAATATCGCATGGATGACCCAGCAGACATGGCTATGCATATTACTTGCACATTTGTTGCATGTTGCCTTCATAGCATCAAAATCATCGATGTGAAAGAGGAAAAGCAAAAAACAGATAGGGTTGGCCAAAAGTTAGCCAACAGAGACTTAAAATTCGGTCAAAAAGGAGGAACAGCCAAACATGCACTAAATTTAATCAAAAGGACTTAAAAATAGACAGGGAAATTGCTTTAGAAGCAAAAACAGGTTTGGTGAATGCACAAAAAAAATATTATGTCAAATCAGATATGATAAAAATAAGAAAAGAACCATTTCGTACGAAGGGCACAAAAATCTAATGCATGTTCGTCATCACTGCCGGAAGCAAAAATATGTCGAAGATGCAGTGTCGGATGAGCTGCTGCTGATTGGAATCACTCGGAAACAAACAAAAACATAGCTCTTAAATGAGGTGATGAGCCTCAACCTTCATCATTATTGAACACCACAATAAAAATTTTTAGAAGAAAAATAGAAAACTCCTTTTTTTAAAGAGCAAAGTTTTTTTTTAATGAAAAAATCCCATCAAAAAATTTTTTCCATCGAAAATAGCGGAAAAACTTCTTCCCAGGAAAAGGAGTGAGAAATATTATTCGTTCTAAAAAAGGTGTTTCCCAAGGACGCTTTTGTCCAGGATAGATATATCAAATTCTGCTAAAAGGGACAGTTTCGAAATCCACGAAAATGAATAGACAAGAAAGTAGTAAGGAGAACTCGGAACAACAGCGCCAGCGAACGATGCACAATTAGCACTTGCTCACCAGCAGATCGCAACTTCCAAGAAGCCTGTTTTGCCATTTTCCGAAAACAAGATTGTTTGTATTTCGTTGATTTCTAATTGCATTATACTTCCACCCTTCTTTTGCTTCCTGCTTCTAAACATCAAGTTCGGGCACGCATTCCATGTGGCAATTTTTAACTTAGACTGAAACGTGTGGACGGCGTGCGCTTTGTTTCAAGTCGGTCAGTCCTGCCACTCAAACGGAGTGGTTAACGCGGTCACCTCATTAATCAGGCAGGTCTCCATATCTGGAACTTCTTCCCTCGAATGCCAGCAGAATTTTTTTAAAGCGGTCATTTTTTTGAAAATCTGCTAGAAATGATAAGCATCGGCAACAGTTAAGGATTAAAATCCATCCGTATCCGTTACTTGTGAGAGGCGGAGGATTCGGGACAATCCGTGTGGTAGCAAATGCCTACAGCAACCGTCCGCTTGCATGGCTATTGATGGCTCATTCTTTCTGGGTTGCTTACAGTATCGGTAATAGGGAATTACAAAATAAAAAGATCAAATATGGCACTAGTATTTGACGAATGAAGGCAAAATTCAATTTACTCGCAATAGAAACTCAGGATGGGTAAAAATCTTCCTAAAAAAATGTTGTCCTTTTTCTTTTCTGAACTTCGCTAGTGGACGTTGAATTTTACTCTTTCTAAGTTGAAACCCTTGGCAGCAGCTTTGTAGCTGTCGGCAAGAAATGCATCTTAGTTGATTTTCTTCTGTTTGTTTTTATGCAAAGGTTTTTTGGTTTAGGAAAGTGTAAGGAACAATTCCCTACTTTAAAAGTTATTTAAACTCCTTAAATTGGAGATACAGTGCATTTGATGGCAACAAATACGGATCGGTGGCAACAAAATGCAAATGTTTCTCGTGAATTTGCAAGTTCTTTTTTTTTTATCGGTTTTTTTTTTCAATGTTTTTTTTAAAAGGGTAAGAAAAAATCCACCGAAAAAAAAATTTTTGCAATGTTCGTTGGAAAATTTTATAAAAGTAACCGTCGCTAGTAAGGGACACACACTGAAAGTCGGGGCTGTCTTGGTGTTCTTGTATTTCTCGCAAGTGCAAAATGTGCAAAAAAAAGCGTTTTTCCTGTTTCTTCCATGGATTTGTCTAGCAGTTCACTTATATGTTTAAATTATATCACTTTGGTCCAGTGACCTGACTAATCATTTAAAAATCACATTTTGTCACTGAGCATCCATTCCAGTTGTTTGGACCATACCTTGTATTTTTGGTGTTAAAAATTCTCTTATATGAACCTTGCATAAATTTGGAAAAACCCACGTATTTACAACTTTTTGGAACTTTTAACTGAATTGCGAACTGAAATTTCTAAAAACTCTGCAAACTTCCAAAATATTATTTTTGGACAACCCTAATGCGCAGATGACAGAAAGATTTTTTCGAAAATGTATGGCTGCCACGCCAAATAATTACACCCACACAACCAGAAATTAAAGGATACGAGAAAAAAAATTAATGAGCCGAGCTTTGATTTATAGGGCAGCAAAGCTGAAATCCGGAATGAAGCGAGAAAATTGCCAGTACCGGCAACAAAAGAAGACAAGAACTGCAGCGATTTTCTTCCAAATATCCTGAGCGCTTTTCCCTAGCATCCCAGAACTCGACCCCAGTCGCCCTTTTACTGTACATAAAAAGGTAATTCGAGGTCTTAGCACCAGGAAGCCTGCTAGCATTATAAAAATTCCCACAGGTCGCACCTCGCAGCTGCTTCTTATGTAAGCAATATTGCAATCGCTGTATTTTTCAACCGAAAAAGTCGGTTAATGTTCACTGATCCGAAAATCCAATTCTGTTCGGGAAGAGACTTGAGATAAAAAATCTCACAACGAACGCTAGCAACTATATTGCAGGCAAATCTTAAGAATGTTTAGCACTGTGTGTTTGAAACAGTGCTCTGCCTCCTGACAACCATAGTTAAGGAAATTTGTGTAATAATTTGCATGAATCACATCAATGATGCTCGATATGAAATCATGAAACTGAATTAAGCTTTCCACATAATATTTTCAAAGGAAATCCTGGACTATGTAAGACTGAGCATCTTTTTTCTTGCTTGGAACGACAAAACTGTACCACTAGAATGACTAGGGGAATACAGCACAAAGAAAAAAGTTTTAAATTTTCGAGTGAAAATATTCTAAATTAAAATCATGCAAAATCTAACTTTGCAAGTGCCAAGCTCACTAGAGACTTTAAATTGCACTGGAAAGCAACATTTGCGTCAAAAAAAATAAATTTATTTCTGAAATAGTAAATTTAATAAAAAGTGGGCAAGACATCAGAAGAGCCATGTTGAAAAAGGAAAGTCCAATCCGAATCACTAAAATATACCTATTCAAATCGGGATCAAATGTATCACCGAATGTTCGTGACTGATGAAATACTTTAACGTAGTCTAGCAGCTGCAACGTTCGAGATAAGGTGGTGATGCTCAATACGCACATTGAGAACATCTCGAAACAACTAAAGTCTCCCTAAGTGCTTCTGACAGGAAAGCCTTAAGCTGAAAGAGGTTTAATTCGAAGACGAAACGAAAATCAGGATCCTCCCAGCCATTTGAACAGCAGGGCGATGTAGCACTGATAAAAGCTTCTGGAAAAGATGCCAACTGCACTGCTGGAAAAAGACGATGCACTGCTGAAAAAAGACGGTAAAATGGAGCTGATCAAAGTATCTATAATTAAATATGAGTTGAGTGAAGCTGATCATGCGACTTGTGTTGATACACATTGAATTTTATTACATCAGCCCAGAACAGGTGTTATACTAGGACTGGAGAGGATGTCCACAAGAAACATAAAGGGGTAGGAACCACAATATACAAAATAAGTTATTCGGCGGCTGGGTCGGATCCATCACGACAGGATCCAAATTTGAGTTAGTGGAACCGAACTTCAGTTGACCAGTTAGTTATGTGGTGATGGAGTGGTATGAGTAATGGCAGCGCTGTCGCCCTCTACCAAATAACGGAGTGCAGAAGAGTTCGTATTTGCAGTCAACTTCTTCACCTCGCCCTCCTCCTTCGAAACGAGAGTTGAGCTCATTTTCGAAGTCTTCCCCAATGAGCACGGAAACCTGTTTCCACATAGCATACCACCCGGTGCCTTGCCGCTTTCGTCACCACCCATCGCTCCCTTCTCCGTCACCCCTCAGCCAGATCAGCCTCTCTGGGAGCACCGCACCAGCGTAACTGAAACAAATGCAGTGCATCTGGATTCCGTGATCACTTTCGACGATGTTCCATCACAAAATCTCTTGCTAATACGTAGCATATCATCTGCTCACTAATTTCCACACATGTGCGTCGCCAGTGTTTGTACACATGTGCCGCACTAATACGGTACGCGGCTTCGGATGCCAGTCTATCAGCCCTCTCATAGCATCCTCACTGCATGTCGATTTTCAGCTTCCTGCCATTTGGCATTTTTCGACGGAGGGGAGGGAAAGCAAAATTCATTTCAGCTCAAAACTCGAGTATCTAAACGCAAGCGAATCCTCATCAGAGTCTAAAATTAACCAAGTCCTAATCGATTTAAGCTCACGCTAATAAATAACAAGAAAGAAGGATTGCTCGCCTAGCTTTTTTACGTGTTACTGCCAATAAATATTCAAAAAAGTTACTGGAAAACACAAATTTATTAAAAACACTTAAGCGTAAACACTTAAGCGCTCTCCATAAAATCCAACTCAAGAATTTTCAATCATACTTCAATTAGAGGAAAATTTTTGCAGTGTTGCTGAAATTGACCTTCAAACGAACATGCAGTGATTAATTGTTTTTTGCGAGACAAAATGCTTTCTGATGGACAGTGATTATTGCAACTGATAAAATTATTATCAATTGGTTCACTGAAGTGCGAATTTTTTAACCTCCTTTCCACGAAGTATGAAGAAGATCCTGAAAGTTTAGGTTTAATGGCCAACGGCCTGAACTGTTTAGTGCTCCATAAGCGTGAAATTTGATGAGCAAAAATCAACAGAAACAAATGACTTTTCCACAGAGCACATTAAATGAATTTCTCCGCATTTTTAAATTTTTATCTGTAATCACTGAAATTAAAAAACATAATTTTTTTCAACCAGCATACTTCTAAAAACTGCTGCTGCTGTTCTCTGTATTAAAAAAAAACAAATGTTTGTTATGCGTTTTTTAAATTTTTGATTCTTTCATCTTCAGTGCAGATTTTGATAAAATTTTTTCTTTTGGAATTTATTAGATTATCATAAATGGTGGTTTTTGTGCGTTTTTGCATGTATGCAAATGCAAAAAAAAGAAGTGAGAAGTACTTTCCTGCAGAAGTGCAGAGAAATTTTTATAGATACAGAATTTTTTGAATTTGGTGAGACAGCATCTCTGAGCGTTCTGTACAGTGAATACTGCAAAAGTGAGTGCAAAGGTTAAAATTGGCCTTTACATTAAAAACAAGGATGAGTCAAAAAAATTCAAAACAGGCAAAAACTGAGGGGCACTGGGAGTGGGAAAAGAGGAAGCAAAATAGGTAAAATGGGATGAATTGGCTGAAATGTGACTGCTCACCAACACAACCCCCCGGTGACCTTGTAATTCCTTGTGTTTACTTGAGCGAAATGAGATTTTGCGGCATTGATATATCTGATTATGTGTGATATCACCGTCGCCCCGATCCACGTGCGCACCGCCACCTCCCCTATCTCTCCTTTCTCCTATCAACGGGGCAAGACAAGACATAAATAACGGCCCTGCTGAAACTGATCCGATGGCGAATGTACAGGAAGCAAAAAGGTCAGCTGGTGGGCGATAACATAATTCCAGAAAAGGCGGGTGATTCAATGAACTTTTCCTTTTCAAAGACGAATGAGGGCTCGAAAATGTCGGTCGATGATGGAAATGAATGCACAAGCACACTGTCATTGCTATATTATATTGCTAAAAAATCTCGTGGCCCTCACATTCGGTTATCAGTGCGTCTGTGCAGGTGTTTTTAACCTTTTGGAAATTTCTGGCTT